TAAATATAGTGAAGTAGTACTCAAAAGAAAAATTTAAGTGGCAAGACATGGCGCAGCTGCTGGAGCGATGGGAAGTCGGCAGGTGAGGTGAGGATGGGGACATGCTGGGCTCAGTGTGTCAGTGCGGTGAGCCTTCCCAGTGTACCGGCTGCCACCCAGGAAAAGGAGGAAGAAGGAAATCCAACGTACAGTCCTGCGGTTGCTGGAGTGGTGGGAGGTCAGAAGGTGAGCTGACGATGGGGAGAAACTAAACACAGAGACCAGGCTGGAAATGTAGGATGATCACTGTCATACTCTGTCTTGTTTGTGTTCCTATCAGCCGGAATTTAGAAGTTCCAGGAACCATTGGGATCAATCTGGGGGGGGGGGGGGGGGGGGGAAATCGGTGTATATGGTATGGGGGAAGCTTTAGGGAGAATCAGTGTATATGGCTACAGTCTGTTGGGGGGAAATCAGTGTATATGGCTACAGTCTCTGTTGGGGGGGGGGTTAGTGTAGTGTATATGGGGGTAGTCTGTGTTGGGGGGAATCAATGTATATGGGGGTAGTCTGTGTTTGGGGGGGATCAGTGTATATGTGGGCAGTCTGTTGAATGGGGGTGGGGGGGGCAGTGTATATGGGGTCAGTCTGTGAGGAGGGATTAGTGTATGTGGGTCAGTCTGTGGGGGGAATCAGTGTATATGGGGGCAGTGTGTTGGGGGTCAATCAGTGTACAGTTGTGTTCAAAATAATAGCAGTCAGACAACACTAACCTGATCAATCACTGTTTTTGGTAGAAATTATATTTCTACATGGCAAATAATTTACTAGCAGGTGTAGTAGAGTGATAGAAATCCAGCAGACCCAACAGTCATGACATGCATGCTGCGGATTATGTGTAATTGAATCACTAAAGGAAAGGGGCATGTTCAAAATAATAGCAGTGTGGAGTGCTATTAGTGAGGTCATTCATTCTTTGAAAAACAGGTGGGAATTATTGCCCTTATTTAAGGAAGGAAGGCAGCAAATGTTGTACATGCTGGTTACAGTGCATTTCTCTCTGAAATTCTGAGGAAAATGGGTTGTTCCAGACATTGTTCAGAAGAACAGCGTACGTTGATTAAAAGGTTGATTGGAGAGGGGAAAACATATAAAGAAGTGCAGAAAATGATAGGCTGCTCAGCTAAAATGATCGCAAATGCTTTAAAATGGCAACCAAAACCTGAAAGACGTGGAAGAAAAACTACCATTCGAATGGATAGAAAAATAGCCAAAATGGCAAGGACTCAGCCAACAATCAGCTCCAGGCAGATCAAAGAAGGTCTAAAGTTACCTGTGAGTACTGTTCCAATTAGAAGATGCCTATGTGAAGCCAAGCTATCTGCAAGAAGCCCCCACAAAGTCCCGCTGTTGAAAAAAAGACATGTGCTGAAGAGGTTACAATTTGCCAAAGAGCACATTGACTGGCCGAAAGAGAAATGGCGCAACATTTTGTGGACTGATGAAAGTAAGATTGTTCTTTTTGGGTCTAGTGGCTGGAGACAGTTTGTCAGACGACCCCCAAACACTGAATTCAAGCAACAGTACACTGTGAAGACAGTGAAGCATGGTTGCGCAACCATCATGATATGGGGATGTTTCTCATACCATGGTGTTGGGCCTATTTATCGCATACCAGGGATCATGGATCAGTTTGAATATATCTGAATACTTGAAGAGGACATGCTGCCTTATGCTGAAGAGGAAATGCCCTTGAAATGGGTGTTGCAACAAGACAACGACCCCAAACACACCAGTAAACGTGCAACATCTTGGTTCCAGACCAACAAGATTGATGTTATGGAGTGGCCAGCCCAATCCCCGGATCTTATTCCAATAGAAAACTTGTGGGGTGACATCAAAAATACAGTTTCTGAGGCAAAACCAAGAAATAGAGAAGAACTGTGGAATGTAGTCCAATCATTCTGGTCTAGAATACCTGCGCACAGGTGCCAGAAGTTGGTTGACTCCATGCAACACAGATGTACAGAAGTTCTCAGAAACAGTGGTTACACAACTAAATATTAATTAAGTGATTCAAAGGAAAGCAAAATCTTCAAACATTTTTCAGTTTATATAGTGAATGTTTGAGTTTGTAAAGAAGAATACAAACACTGCTATTTTTTTGAACAGTCTAATATTCACTTTTCTTCAATTTCTTTTTTTAGAGGAGCAACACAAATTTGATATTTTTCTTCATGTTTTGATTTGGAATAGAATGTGTAGTGTTCCCAATGCATTTGTGTGTATGGAAATAAAAGCTATTAGAAGGATTTTAAGCTTTATTCACTTTTTTCAACACACTGCTATTATTTTGAACACAACTGTAAGTGGGAGCCAAATGGCTGCACAATCCAAGTAACACCACAACCGCAGGGCATCATTTATTTATGTAACAAGATGGGTTTCCTAAAGCCACTGAAAACCACACCCAATTTTTGCTGCAGTGCGCTGTGCACAACCTACTTTCTTTTCCTCTGGCAGGAGGACCATGTTATGGTACACAACATAATTTCTTGGTATTTATGAACTGGGGACTGTGTTGTGAAGAGGGGGGACTCTGTTGTGAATAGGAAAAGGAAGGGACTCTGTTGCAATGGGTGGGACAAACTCTGTTGTGATGGAGGGTTATGTTGAACATGAAGAAAGAAAGTGGCGGCACTCTAATTTACAGACTAATAATAAACGTCTTTAATATTCATTCCATAAGGATAAAAAGACAGCAATACACGGCTCTGAGGACATCAGTAGATGCATTTCACACTCCTTTAGTGCTTATTCATTATTGAAAGCTCCATAAACACTCACTCCTTTTGCTCCTACATCAACAGATGAAATTAATCAGCCCAGACAACCCCTCCCCCACATGGAATGAAGAGGCGTACTCCGTGGTAACAAAAATGTAAACTAGTAGGAGTATCCAAAAGAGCAGTGTTCATTTTATTATCATTGTTATTTATACAAGATTTATATAGCACCAACAGTTTGCTCAGTGCTTTACAAAAAAAAATGTTCATTTGTTTGTGTTAAAATAATATAACTCAAAATTGACATTTAAACACATCAATGTATTCTAATTAAAACATCCAAAGAAAAACACAAAACAAGAAACACAAAACAAGAACCAACCACCAAAATTAATAAAAACTCATCCAAGAAGAAAGAAAGAATGAAAGAAAAATAATGAACAAAAAATGTTAAAGAAAAAAAAATATAGATAGATATATAATTATAGAGATATACTGTAAATATATAACTATAAATCTATGAATAAACAATTGATTTAATAACCTAATTATCTAAGACACTTTCTTTGTGTGTTCAAGGTATATACTGAAATCTTAAATACAAAATACTACACACTGAAAAAATATGTGGGCCAATAAATACAGTAATAATGTCTTCCCCTTCAGCACTCAATCAACTACCCTAAGGGACTACTACGTCCACACTAACCTATGAAGGGTAAACCATAAAAGTTTGATGTGGTCATAAACAAAACTCCTTCTGGAAAGAGACAAAAACCACATAAAGGGAAATAAGGAAAAGTAAAGGAAATCCATGTGAACAAACATGAAATGTATTAAAGTCTCCCTCCAGAAGATGCATGCTATGGTAAAGCACAGGTAGATTGCGCCAAAAAACAGAGATATACTGTGCATCAGTTGTATGAATATACAGAAGAGAGGACAAACTGGTTATTCATAATAATGGGATGCATCCCATTCAAAATTTAAACCAAATGGAATTCCAGCATGCAAATGAAAGAGATCCTGTATAACCCTCTTCTGCATAACAACCTAAATACATCTCCTCCACTGACGGGAGCTCCGACCGTCTTTGTTATCTGGACTGATACTTCACTGATATCTCTATATAATATATACCAATAACTATATACCTATTTCCTGCCAAAGCTTTTCTATAGAAACATGTAGTGACTCTTCCACAGGTGGCCCTCATAACATCTAAAAATGAGATCTCACTGCCATTGGATAAACCAATAAAGGTCAAATTACAGGTGTTAGGGGTTAAATACAACATAAAGGGTTCAACAGTGGTCATCTATATACCGAAGGAACATTTGGATGTGGGACCTATAGGGGTTATTGTCTCCATACATGTGTGGCTGCTCCCACCAACCCATGAAAAGTTTAGTGAGTGAGGGTGAAAACTTTGCCCCCATCATGGCCCCATATCTCTGAAGGTAGAACACCTTATCAAATCTGAAATAATTATGTGTCAGCAAGTACTCCAGAACCTACAGAAGAAAAAAGTGATGTGCAAAGGATAAATCAGTGTAGCACTCCAAATAGAGAGAGCCCATCTCATATGCCAGATTATGTGGTATACTGGAGTACAAACTGGCAACATCACAGGTAAGCCAAGCATAATCCTGATGCCACACCACATCCTTCATACTTGTCAATAAATGGCTGGTATCCTTTAACCACTTGCCTACCAGGCACTTATACCCCCTTCCTTACCAAGCCAATTTTCAGCTTTCAGCGCTGCCGCACTTTGATTGACAATTGCGCGGTCATGCAACATTGTACCCATATGAAATTTTGATCATTTTTTTCTCACAAATAGAGATTTCTTTTGGTGGTATTTAATCGTCACTGGGCGCTTTACTTTTTGCGCTATAAATTAAAAAAGTGCAAAAAATTTGAAAAAAAAAAAAAGTTTATTTGTTTCTTTTATAAAATTTTTCAAACAGGTATTTTTTCTCCTTCACTGATTTGCGTTGATGAGGCGGCACTGATGGGCACTGATAGGCGGCACTGATGGGCACTGATAGGCAGCACTAAAGGGCACTGATAGGCAGTACTAATGAGGTGGCACGGATAGGCGGCACTGATAGACAGCACTAATTAGGGGTCACGGATAGGCGGCACTGATATGCAGCACTGATAGGCGGCACTGATAGGTGACACTGATGATGGGTACTGATAGACGACACTGACTGGCATCACTTCTGGGCACTGACTGGCGGCACTGACTGGCACAACCCCTGGGCACTGACTGGTGGCACTGACTGGCAGCACTGCTGGGCAGCACTGGTGGGTGGCACTGGTGGGCAGCACTGGTGGGTGGGCACAGGTGGGTGGCACTGGTGGGCACAGGTGGGTGGCACTGGTGGGCACAGGTGGGTGGGCACAGGTGGGTGGCACTGCTGGGCACATGTAGGTGGCACTTCTGGGCACAGGTAGGTGGCACTGCAGAGTGGCACAGGTGGGTGCACTGCTGGGCACAGGTGGGGGCACTGCTGGGCACAGGTGGGGGCACTGCTGGGAACGGGGTGGGCGGGGCTAGTGGGCGCACTGCTGGGCGGAATTTGCGGGTGTCACTGCTGGGCACCGATCATCAGGGCACTGATCATCAGTGCCCTGATGATCGGTGCCGATCCCCGCTCTGACAACTGCCGGTTCTCGGCAGTACTTTCCTCACGATCTGACAGCGTGAGGAAAGTGCAGCCGAGAACCGGCACTTGCCTTTCCCTGTGATCAGCGTGTCATTGGACACTGCTGATCACGTGGTAAAAGGCCGGTGGGATCGGCCTTTCACCACATCACGTGATCAGCTGTGTCCGTAGGACACAGCGATCACGGAGATCGCCGGGTGCGCGCCCCCTGGGGCGCGCAGGAGAGCGCGTTCTGGGAGGACGTCATATGACGTCCACTCAGAACTGGCCGGCCGCGGTGAAGCCGTCATTCGGCTATGCGCGGTCGGCAAGAGGTTAAATAGCTCAGTAAGGAGCACACTCATTCAATAACCCAATCCCAGTCACAACTGAACTGCCATGTAATGGATCTAGACCTTTATGAGTTTTAGGAAGATGATGGAAAGTTGGTAAAACTGGGTGTTCCAGGACAAGAGTAGTTACATCCTTGGGACTAAAAATACCTAAATATGCACCCTTTTGTAAAAAGGTTCTGCAGGATACCCTTGTAGGTTTTTGTGGGATCACTTTTTAGTATATTATAGGTATTCCTGATAGTTGTCTGATTGCCTTCTCCTTGTAGCTAGAGCATCCATGACAACCACCAGACCACCCTTATCAGAATTGCATATGATGATGGATTGGTCTTGTTGTAAATCTCTCATGGCCCTCCTCTCTTGTGCAGTTAAAATATCAATACTGATATGTGAATTGTGAGAAGTCAGCCAACTTGACCAAATACCTTTCCACACACTTCTGAAACTTATCCATGTCAGGGACATGGGACTGCATTAGATAAAAGTCAGAATGACTATTAATTTGGACCCTCTGAGGATCCTCACTTACAATCCCTCTCAACTAGGGTACATGAGTGCCCTCCTCTGCGAAATCGGTTAAATTCTGGGAGATTGAAAAGAGAAAGGAATCAAATCCTCTGGACTGTTATTATCCATAGGGGAACTAACAGACCCAACATCCCTGTCTTCAGCTTTCAAATAGTGCTTTCTAATAGTGATGTTATGGATACAATTATTGATGTCCAATAAAGTGCCAAACAAATGAATATGCTGTGACGGCCAGAAATTAAGACCTTTAGACAAAAGAAACATTTAACACATTGACTATTTCTTGCGTGTCTGAGGTCTGAGAGAATATGGATTGTTTAAACCCCCTTCACCTCTTTCTGCCTCCTCTCCTGTTTTTTTCCTCCACCCTTGTGGTTCTTTTTTTGCCCCCGTTTGATCCTTTTTTTTAAGGGCAAGAGTGCTTGCTCCCTGATTTGCCTCTAGGACCAGATGATGATTCTGGTGAGTAGTCTGAGTCAGACACCGCCAGTGTCTCATCTAAATACTCGGTTTCATTATCAGAGAAGCTGATTATCTTCTTAGGTGGGTAAGCCGCACAGTCCCCATGGGTGTCTCTTTTTCCATGTATACACATTATTGGATTCATAGTCCAGCCTATCCCTCATCATTTTTTTTCTTACCCATTATAATGTCCTATTCCAAATTATTAATTTTTTCATTCAAATTATTACCCAGTCCCACAAAATCTGTTAGATTATTAAATGGTAAAATATTCTTTTGTAATAAATGGATCTCCTGTTGTAATTTCTCAATCTCCGTAGTTTTGGAGGCAATGATCAAACACATTAAATCAAACGAGCAGGCAAATAACATATCAGTCCATTTCTCCTTTAAATCTTCGTCAAATAAATCAAATGTGAGATATTTCTTAATCCTCGGTCCCCACAGAATCTGCTCTAGGGACAAATGCTCAATGAGTGTAGTCTTGTCCCAATATGCTTTAATCTCCTTCATAATATTACATTCCAGCTTCCTAAAAAGAAGCCTCAGGGAACCTGCATCATCCTCGTTGTTGGTACACAAAACATCCCGTGCATTAATTCTCAGTGGGTTGTCATCGACTGTATGAAAGGTATGGCTGTTTTGTTCCTGAGAGCTGAGAGCTGTCATTTTATAATAAATGTTCAATCAACAACTCGATCTTCAAAAGCAGCCCAATATACTAATATTGATATGAAGCTGGACCTATATTTATATAAAAAAAAGAGCCAAAAACAAAATGTTTGTTGCCAAAAAGTCAGCCCCTCCATTCCATGTGGGGAGGGGTAGTCTGGGTTGATTAATTTCACCTGTTAATGTAGGATCAAAAGGAATGAGTGTTCATGGAGCTTGTAGTAATGAATAAATATAAATATAAAGTGCAGCGCTCTCCCTAAACTGATTACAATGAATTAAATTAAAAAAATAAAGTGCACACTTAGCTAAAATGCTCTACATAAAATACACACTGCTGAACATATGTATAAGAATAGTGCATATACAAATATGCACATAAACAAAGATAGTGCAAACTATGTGCTTCAAAGTGAGAATAAAGTGCAATTGGAGATAAAATAAAGTGCAATAAAATCACTCCAATCATCTATTATACATAATAATATGTGGGGTCTGGGCAAGGAGGTGAGGAGCCATCACGGCCAAAGTTTGGATTCACACAGTGTGGACACGTGTGACACATGCATGAAGATTGCTAGTTTTTGATGCATTTGGACACTTTATTTATTTGAGATTTATTATTATGTATAATAGATGATTGGAGTGATTTTATTGCACTTTATTTTATCTCCAATTGCACTTTATTTTCACTTTGAAGCACATGGTTTGCACTATCTTTGTTTATGTGCATATTTGTATATGCACTATTCTTATACATATGTTCAGCAGTGTGTATTTTATGTAGAGCATTTTAGCTAAGTGTGCACTTTATTTTTTTAATTTAATTCATTGTAATCAGTTTAGGGAGAGCGCTGCACTTTATATTTATATTTATTCACTTATTTTGGTAAAGGAGTTTCGTGTCAGCTGCTTGGTTAATAGGGCCCCATTCTTAGCGCAGGAAGTTCTCGCACTATTGATTTTTAGATTGTAGTAATGAATAAGCACTAAAAGGAGTGTGAAATGCATCTACTGATGTTCCCAGAGCCCCGTATTGCTGTCTTTTTATCCTTATTGAATGAATATTAAAGATTTCTGTTGTTTGTAAATTGGAGTGCAGCCAATTTTTGCGAACCGGGCACACACAGACACATCCAGCAGCATGAGATCTCTGGCAGGTCCGCTTTGAGCGGTGTGTACCCTGTTTGCTGACCCTATTGTTCTGATGATAGGACTGGGTGGGTTTTCATAATGGGGATGGACTCTGTTGTGATGGCAGGGACTCCAGTGGGAAGGAGGGGATTGTGGTAGGATGGGGCAACTCTGATTTGAAGGAGATGATATAATGGGAGGACTGTGATGTAAGGGTTGCTGACTCTGAAATGATGGGTGGGATCTGATGTGAAGGGGGGACTCCCCTATGTGGTACCAAGGAGTGGGTGACATCATCATCCTATACAAATGTCAGTGTCCTTCAGCCCAATAAATACAGTTCAGAACTAGGGTGTCTTGAGATTTTGCATACTTTTAAAGCGTGCCATGAATAATAAAAAAAAAAAAGGTTTAGGAAACCTGGCCTAATACATGTGCTTTTCTCCACATGGAGAGGTAGGGAACCATGAGAGGAATTAATAAAGTGATAGTGTACCAACATTATGCCCCCCTGACTTTAATTACACCCCCAGACTAGAAAAGCTAGATCAGGCCTTGCTCTGGTTAGAATGCAGGCAAAGTTATATAATTTAAGGTTAGGAAGAGCTGCACACCAGCTGATTTAGGGATGGTTAATAAAGAGTTGCTTAGCTTTGGATGTTTCCCTTGCCAGATAAATTGGTTAATCATGAACTGGGCACATTTTTTCTGGAAGCTGGCAGTCTAATGGGGAAGGCTTGCATTAGGCATAAATTGTTCATTTTAATTATTGCCAAACCATGAGAAGACTGGAAGGTCCCATGTTTTAAGATAATAAGCAATACAGTTTAAAAGAGGTATAAAGTTGGCCTTTAATAAATCAGATAGTTGGATTGAAAAACAATTTGCATAAGGTATAAAGAATAAAGTTAAGTGTATTTTTTTATTTAAAAACAAAACAAAAAAAACTTGGGTATGGAAGCATTTGAATCCTTACCCTCTTTTTTCTTTTATGTGACATATCTAGTGCTTTCAGCTATGCCCAGTTTTCTCACCTCATGCTCTGTCCCCAAATTGACATTCAAATCTCTCTCGATTTCTTTCATTTACCAAGTACTTGACCAACCTGACTCCCTGCATAGTTGCCAGATGACTTTTATGTTAGTCCCAATAAATTTGTATGTTTTTCTGTCTTGGTTACTATTTAAAAAAATTTGACATATCAATCCATTTTATTTGTAATAAACGCTGAATATAATTTTCTGTTTTTGATCTTTTATATATAAACAAGACAAAATACTGTTTCAAGTCCTTAGTATTCTGTGCATAATTTTCATTACCTGTTCTAATTATGTATGTATGGATTCTGCACGATTGCACTACTCTGGTTTTGATGGGTGTAATTTTATTACTTGTTATTCACTCTGTATGGACACTGTATGATATCACTTCTCTTGCATCTTGGAACTGATATCAGGTATCTGTTCTTATTTGCTAAGTGTACTCCAATGTTTTTGTGTGTGTTTTCTCAACATTTATTTTACTGTGTACATATCCAAGTCACCTTTTTTCCTGTGTATCCATAGTGTGTGCCTTCCTTATCCTCCATACTCTTATCCCAGACTGACATCTCTGTGCTTTGCAGCATAATGAGATATACGGCTTGACTCAAGG